CAGGAAAATTCAAAAACCAACACTAAAAAAATGATGATTAAAATAGTCTAATATTTATAGTGCAATAAAGTTGAATTATAACATCACATTTACTGTGTTATTTGAACCTGTATTTGAAAAGGCCAGGTCTTTTTAGTAAATACAGTTAAATTATATTTTAACAGAGACAAATAATTACTTTTTGCCATCAAGATCAAAAGTAAAAAACAATAATTGTTTTATTGCTTTCCAGTGTATTAAATACAGAAACACAACACAAATATAATGTGTTAGCAGAGAAAGCAGCTTGAGGTAAAACTACAGCAGCTTCACACAGAAAAGCCAGCAGGCCTGGAGGAGTGACTGAGCTCACACAAAAAACTCCATGAATGACTGAACAATAACTGTGCATTGGATCGCTGCTCAAGCCCAGTTTCCCTCTGACTGCACTATAGCACAGTATAGATTTACATCAAATGCGGGGGTGGGGGGATAGGTAAAACATTGACTTAATAATGAAAGTTCCACACATTTAATTATGAAAAAATAATTATTTCACCTGAACCTTATCTACTAACGGTTCATAACCACATGTATCACAATCACCACTGTAAACAACATATTCAGGTTCCCTGGCCTTGACTAAGCCGAAGACACATTTATATATAAAGCCATACTAATAAACAGTTCCATTGTACTTATGTACCTTTTGTGACTTTCCACAAAACAAACAGCTTCTCTTTATAACTGTGCAATCAAATACAGTACCTAACATTTAGACCTTGATACAGTAAACACCATTCACCTGCAATGCACCCTGGCCATAAATCAACCTCTGAAATATTTAGATGTAAAGCTGTGATTGTTTATTTTGTGTCTTATTTAAGTTTGTCTTATTTTCTCTCCCTGGTCTTTGTCCCTTTAAAATGCCAATTCCCCTTTGTTTAAACTGAATGTAATTCACCTCTGATTTTGTTTTCCTTTCTTTGTAACTAGTACACATTACCATTATAACCTTTGCATTTGGATTTTTAATTAATTAAAAACGTAGTAATTGAAAAGGAACATTTCCTTGTATTTCTTTTAATAAAAAAAGCAATCGATTTTACAATTTTAAATTTGAATTGTGCATGTTATGTACAATAACTTGGTTCGTAATGACGTACAGATATTTACGTTTCTAATTTAAGAAACAAATGTAATAATTTAGTGAAATAAACGTCAGTTAAACGTATCTTTCCATAACGGGATAAACAGCCATTGTTTCGAACGATTTTGACGAATGTTTGAAGTTGTTTTCGCCCACTGTGTGACAAAGATCACACCTGTGGTTCCACACACACGCGATGCCCTCATGTTCACTCCGTACACACGTGTGTCCAGCAGAGTGCGCACACAGGCAGGCGCATGTATGGAAATTCCGCCTATAGCCGTGCAGCAGTGTAACAACAGCAGCAGCAGGGCCAACATGGCGGCGGCCATTATGAGGCTCTCCAACAGTGCCAGGGCCTACGTGCGCAAAAAGAGCGGGGAGTGGCGCAGGCTTCCTACACCGAGTTGGGCTTTTGCAACAGACTTTGAATCTGACCACAGTAGGGCAGCGGGTCGACATTTTTGACACGTATAAATGTTTTCTTCTTCTTTTCCAGTTCTTTTTTATGAGCGTTAAATAGTCAGACAGGAAGGCTGTGGAGCAGGGAAGAGTAGCGTGCTCTATAAGAAGGGGGCGGTGGAGGAAAGACAACACCGTGTTGGAAACGCACAAAGTGAGGGTCACGTGTTTATCCAAAAGGGGGTTTGAATATTTATCCATTACCGTCACGCAATGGTGTCTTTCCTTCTACCTAAAACTCTATTTTAACCATTCTGTGTAACTATATGTGCTACTACAAGCTTACATTACGCACCAGGAAACATAACATGGTTTAATGATCCGTATTTCAGAGCTCATTACGAGCCGTTTTTGTTCTTTAATAAAACAAAAACAGAGGCTGACAGAATAAGGTCTATACATTTTCTCACAACCTTAAACTCGCTTTCCACACACACACACAGAGAGAGAGAGAGAGACATGCTTGCATATATATTAAACGGGGGGAGAGACTCAGCTGATTGGTATGCACGTCATCACACACTGCAGTGTTACAGTCAATAAGGAAACTCTGACGCCTACGTAAGCTTATTGGAAATAGTTTACATATGTGGAGCGTCCTATATGGGAGTTCAATTAGGACTGTGTTTGTGTGTGTGTGGCCGTGTGCGTGATTCACAGAGGGAAAGGTTATCGTGGCTCCTTCTGCTACAAATTACGCGACAATGCAACAGCAGGAGACAAAAGACTGTGTTTTCACGCTATTGTACCAAAAATGTTGCTTACTCGTTGTGTTTTGTATTATGACGGAAATTTCTATTTTTAAATTGACAACCCGGAAATTGTAATATTAACAACAACAGACAAGGTGGGAAAATAACCACAGACAAAGAGATATATATAAAAAGAGAGTAAAGAGATTAAGCTCTCCTGACAGCGGGAGCTGACAGGTAACGGGTCTGCAATAACGCCATTGTATTAATAAGCATACGTATTTAAATGTTAATGACGTGACACAAAATGTGTGTGGCTGTGTAACGTAGGCATACCATAAATATATATTAAAAAGAATAGACCGCATTTACCACAAGGAGAAAATGGGAGTGACTACTTTTCTCAGCGGAAGATTATAGGTCACAGCGTTGCCGTCATATGGCACTGTATAGATGGGCGTGAGACGGCTGCCACGCCACGTTGTACGTTGTGAGCAGATTTATTATTTCGTAACAAAACCTATTTTCGCTTTGTTGTGTTTTAATTTATTTCTTAAATAATTGGAATATTGCCAACTTAGGTTGACGATTTACACACAGGGACAGAAACGGAGGGTTACTACTTTAAGAAGCGGAAGGTTAAATGCCTCAAAGGAAGCGAAAGCATAACTACAACGTGGTCAAATCCTGGGTTGATGTCCAAATACGAGTCGCAGGAATATATTTTGGGTCACAGTTAATTTTTTGAATCTCTTTTAACTATATAATGAACACATTTGTGTTTAAAAAGGTAAATAGAAAACATTACCAGGTTGACCTATTTAAAATGTCATTACAAATGGTCAGAAACGTTTTGCACAAACATTGCTCTTCACACAATTTTGTGAAACTGGGTCAGACTTTAGTTGTTTGGCCAAATTACTTGTTTATGCAGACAATCATTAAGAGATGACAACAATGTTAACATTTGACTAAATGTACTTATTTCTTGACCTTGTAGTGTTATAGTTAAAACCCCTAGGGCCAGGACCTGGTCCATAATGAGTCAGAATCTCATTACTGACCCTTGGTCAGGGTCAGGATTAAAATGTGCATTTTTGTAAGGTTTCTGCTGTCATAGTACAATAGGTCAAGGCTGATTTATGGCAGAGAGGCTGAAAATTAGCTATTTACATTTATTACGTTTTTTTTTTTTTTGCTTAACATTTTCTTGACAAAATATCAATTCAAATACTTTTTAATGCATGCAGAGTATACAATCGCTATGACACAGCAAGAGAGTTAATGTGTATTGTTTGGGATTGTTCTTAATAAGCCAGGTCACGTAGTTAGAATTAAAAGTGCTAACTCTTTTATTGGAAAGAGCAGGTCAAAGCCTTCTTCTTTAAATGGCTCTTTTTTAACATTATATTCCCACCTGTTGATCTAATTTTTTACAGCATTTCTTTGTCAAATACATACATACTAATAGATGTATTTATTTGAAATAGATATATATCTTGGTTCATTAACTTTTAGCAAAATGTTGCATTGTCTTTAAACTACTTTTGGCAAACTTGTAAATATTTAAACTACTTAGTGGTTCAAATCGGAATTTCATCTATACATATATTTATCTTCATAGTTACATTTTTTATTTTTATGTCACTTGGTTTTTGTTGATTTTAACTTTTATTTATTGCAGATATTTGTCCTTTTATTTTACAGATAAAGTGTTTTCAGTGCTAATTTTGTATTACTGTCCTAATTAAACCACTGTTTGCCTTGGTTTTCATAAAGTTGGCCATAAGTTTCAGTAGCTACCCAGAAAATCTAGATATTTTGTCTAACTATTAACCTACATCTAACTTGTAAATATTTATGGTACTGTTTACAATTATTTAAACAACATTTAGCATTATTTTAACCCCTTATTAGCAAAATGTATATGCTTTAACTTTTATCTACAGTATGTCTGGTTTAATATGAATTATAATTTGAAATTATTTTGTTAACTTGTAGCTACTGTATTTGGCTTAAAATATTGACTTACTTTAATTTTTCTAATTATTATAGACTTTTTAACTTGTTGTTTTTGTTCTTGTTTCTTTTTTCTACCATTAATGCCCCTGTATGCCTTCTTCTGGATATTAACTCATGTATATGTATTTTGTTTTTCAACACTTGTATGCTGAAACCAAAGTGAGACTGAACTCTTTTGTTTCTGCCCTCAAACTTATTGAAATAAAGCTGATCCTAGTTTTTGGCTAGTATTTGGACAAAATATGACTGACCATGTTTCATATTTTAACACATTATTTAGGACATAAACAGCATTTTTAGCCGTAAGTTTAGGTGTGGCCTGAAATATAAGCTTTGACAAGCAGGAAATGACCCGCAGGCCACCAGTTGGATGTTCTAGGATACAGTATGTGTGCGTTGCTACTTTTCACAGTGGAATCTTACAAGTAGTAGTGCAGCAAAGTGTATGTTCCTACATGTGCGTGTGTGCAAAAACTGTAAGCCAACATCCGTTTTTTAGGGGAACAGTGTAGCGTGCGTATATCACGTAGAGAAATGTGGGTTGCTATTTCTCACAGCGGAAGCTTACAGGTCACAGTGCAGCAGTGTATAGGCATATGATCCAGCCACCGTGTACACCTATATACGTATATAAATATTTTTTTTACATATTACACGTGTACGTGTGTGTGTGTGTGTTTAAATGGTCGGCCTACCTTAGTTTTTTGGGAACAGAGTAGTCTACTTCTATCACCTTCCCGTGTAGTTCAACTTTACCTGTAAAGAATGGAGAGTGTAACGTTAGCCGTGAGCGTCATGATGGCAGTGACAATGCAGTGCTAAAAAGCTAAAGCTACTTTTTTTTAAAATAATACTATAGTGTACACTTTCTTTGAATCACTTTACTGAAGTAGGTGCGTCCCCATTTAAAACCGCACTGAGTCAGGCCCTGGAAAAAGTAAATACAGTGTACACATACACACCCACACTATAAAACTGTATATGTTGAAGTGTGTGACATTATTTCGTAGTGTTACAATAGTGTAAATCGGCGCCAAAGTGAAGCATGATCAGCTTCTATAGTATGGGGGGAAATGGGCAGCCATGCTTTCCACTCCCACAACCACAGCGCTGTGAGGGCTATTTTTCTCAGTAAAGAATGCAACATCAGAGAGGAAGATGGTGTGAAAAGAGAATGTTTTCTACTCCCTCCTCACTCTTTTCTACCTGCCTCCACTCCTCGTCGGCACCCTGATATTTAAAGCTCTCCTCGGGCGAAGCCTGAACACGACTGCATGTGTGTGTGTCCGTGTAAGAGTGTGTTCCTTTCGTGACTATTATATGAGTGAGTGGCCTGGCGCAGCACGGAATTAGCGTCTCACTCACCTCGTCCCCCACTCAGCTACCTGTTTATTAGCTCTTTCCTCCGGACCCCCGTCACCCACCTCCAAGACACCTCGTAAAAACATACCCGGACACCAGAGGAACACGGATTTGACAAGTTTTCCGCGCTGGCGTCGCCGTGCTCTCTTCAATAAAATCAAGATAAAAAATAAGTGAAAAATAATTATGCCTACCCGAACCATCAGACCATCCCATACATTCCAGCGGCTGATTGCAAAGTAGTGCCCCACAACTGTCGGAATCTGCCGAATATACAGTATTGTGCGCGTAATTTTGCGCTTCGACAGGCTGGTGTTTTCTTGAAGCAAAGCCGCACCAAAGACCCGAGTGTGTCCCGCGATCGATCATTCATGATCCATTATTTTCTGTGTGTGTATGACTGAAGCGTTCATGTAAACTCTGATGGATGTGATCGAAAACACACACGCACACACACATACGCTCGTATGAACATAGTGTCCCAAAGCTTGAAAAACACCACAGACTCGTATCATTTATTATTCCACGTTAAGGGGACACTATGAGTGATTGTGCGAGTTATTATTGGATCTGATCTTGCACTTGTAAATTCTCCCTTGTCACCACTAAGCAGCATCACTTATCAAAATCCACACTTACCAGAAAGAGTCTCTATAGCCTTTATGGCCGAGTTCTGATCGGGGAAGTCCACAAATGCATAGCCGGATTTCAGTAAGATCTGCTCGGGCTCGGGCAGCTTCCTCGCCCCAAAGAGCTGCTTCAAGTCCTCGACAGTGACCGAAGGACTTAAATTCCCAACATATAGTTTGTTCATGATCTGGAAGGTGGACGAAAAAAATCTCCGAAAGGTGTCAGATCTTAGAGTAGCGGTGTTCAACTGGGTATAAAAATAAAATAAAAAACAATAAAATAAAAAATAAACAATCTGCTGGGATTTTTAAAAATGCAATGATGACCCCCCAGAATATTTCCAAGTTGTAGACGACCCCCCAGCACCAACTCTGGCCCTGGTCAAACTCTTTTAACAAGGACGGGGGAGTGTCGTTACGACGCTACTCTGGAGCCAACAAGCGCCGCCTCTTAATAAAATCTCCCTTAAAATCACAAGGAAAAAAACTGTTTGGAGGTGCATGTGGACTCTGCGCTGCTTCCTACTCCATCAGTGTATGAAAGTGCAGGATGTTGGTGGTGGTGGTAGATGGAGCTGAAGGATGGGCTTAGAGGAGTAAGAGAGGTTAGATTGCTACAGAATATTCCATCTGATCATATTAGGCTGCAGCTGTGTGGAAAATCCTGTCAATGTCACTGTTTTCTGGCCACTCACAGCTGTGTCACAGTTTTGCCTCTTGCTTATTTTGTGGAAAGCAGAAGTAGGGTGTAGGAGTTGGAAACGCCTGGTTGAGATATTATCTTTTTATAATAATAAAACCATCTCGGAAACAGTACTACCACAGCTGTCACGCCAATTTTTAAATACACCATATTTTAACTGGTGTATTCACTGTATTACAAATCTTTAAATTGTTCAATTATGTAGTGAAACTACATAGTTTTGGATACATTTCTACATATATTTGTATGTTTTTCTTTGCATATTTTGCACAATTACATTACGTTTTTGATCAACTACTGGCTTTAACATATTTTCTGTAATTTGTACATTTATATTTCAATGCTCTTGACGATTGATCCTGTTTTAATATACGTGTTGTTTATTTTCTGTTTGCTAACTTCCTATTGTGACAAGTTTGTTTCCCCACACATTTATAAAGTCTTTAATTTTAGCAACAATGATAAATTATTTTTTGGAGGCAATATTTCTGTTTTTCCACATTAATAATATAACACAAAATTATTGCTCTTAGCCAAAAACAAAGGCTGGGCAGAATAAAAAGTTGATGAAAAATGTCAACAAAAATAGGCTAAGTGAAAAGCAAGGGAAGAAAAAATAAAATGCTGAAAATAACTCCAGGTCAAACCAGAAATAGCTGAAGAGTTATGACTAAATGAAGAACTTCTAAATGTATTCCATGATTGCTCAACTGAATTAAAAACGCTACATAGTAGCCTAATACTAATACATTGCTGGTAGCTCTAAAAATAGCACACATTGTTCATTAAGCTAAAAGTCTAGCCAAAAACATATTAAACAAATAACACAGTTCAAAAATATGTTTTAAAAAACTGTATGTTGGCCAGGTAAGATTTATCTGATAACAACACTTAGTAAAATAGTACAAAATAGTTTATCTATACTTGGCCCTCAATTTACAGTAACAGACGTAGTTACTATCTATACTTGGCCCTCAATTTACAGTAATAGAAAAAAGTTACTAAAAATAGCTAAGGGTTAAGAAAGATCCCTACAAGTTAAACCAGGGAAAGGTGAACATAAAAAAAAGAAAAACATTACCTGTAAAATATTAAAAAGCACAATGGACCTGGCTAAAATATTGGCCAGAAGATCTAGGATCAGCTGAAAAATAGGTAAAAAGTGGTAGATAAATACCTGAATGTAGTAAAAATGTTGCATTTATTTAACACATGGAAAAGCTATTTATAAAGACCCAGGTTTCCAAAAACATGTTTGACATGACAAAAATACTTCTAATAATATATAAGATTTCTTTCTGCCCTGCTGGCGTACCATAAAATAATTCAGGACAGAAAAACAAAGACTACATAAAACCTGTCACAGTTGGCTGGACTTTGAACGTGCATGCTGCAGAAAGAACAGAAAAGGATTTAAAGAAAACAGAAAGTGAAACTTAGAAACAACAAGTCTGGTCCAGAAACAGCAAGTCCTGCAGTTTTAATATAAAAAGTCACGTTTTAATAATGGCAAAGCATGCAGTTGAAATTGAGAAAAAATAATAACCAAAATAATTTCCATTCAAAGATGACATTGTCATACATAAACTTTCTTTTCTTAGACTGCAGGACTCCTGGACTGTATGTTGGTCACCAAAGACAAAACATATGTTGAAATATATACATTCTTTTATAGCTAAAATGTGGTTAAAATAAGTAAATTGTATACAAAATCCTGATTTGTAAAGCCTTTTGTGCAAGATGTTACGTATTATGAAGTTTGTTACTGTTTACATAACTTGAATTTTTCTTGTCTGGGGTTTGGGATCTTTCGCCATACTTTAATCATCATTGAAGTATCATAGATGTTTTTGTCTCACAAGATTTTGTACACAATGACATATTCCTCTCTACAGTGAATCGTTTCTCATGTATTGTTAAGAAGCTGTCATCCCTCAGGTCTTTTGACTGAAACGTATTCACTAAACACAACTATTTTGCATAGTATGGATTTTTCCATAAGTGGCTTCATTCTGCGTATGGTCGCATTTTTTGAAACGGAAGTTAGGAGATTCCCCGTCCCATCAGACTTCCTCCATGTCTCTTCTGTCCCTCTAGTGGAGCACCTTCTTCTACCCTTTCCCCCTTTTAGTTGATATAGGTGTGAATCTGTGGGAGTGTTTGAGGAGAGTGAATGTAAAAGGATAATTGCAACACTGACACATTAGGGAAAGGCTGTTGTTGTTCAATGCTGCAGTGTTCTAGCATGGATGTACCTACATTAGTGATCAGTGGGAGGAGCCTTTGTTTCTGCAGTCTTAAGAGTATCTACAGTACATGTGACTGGCCTATGCTTTAGAGCATTACTGCCACCCCACTGTAGTGTAGAGATGGTGCCAGCAGCAGGAGCGACCGCTCCTCCGCTTGTTTACGTCAGTGTGTGAACACAGGAATGTCCAAGCTGTGGTCTATTTACAAAACAGCTCTTCCAAATGACATGCTAACACAGTCGTAGCAGGACTCTGCTGCTGCTGGGATCAACCAGCAGAGACAACAAATAATAATTATATTTACCCTAAAGAGGACATCATCTCACAATATATAGGGAAAATAGCCCTATGCAGGTACAAGGGACAAATACAGAAATCTGTCAACTTAACAATTGATAATTAAGTTGCTCTAGAAATATCAGGACGTAGGCAGTTTACTACTGAGTGAGAAGTAAATGTTATACTAAGTATAGAGATTCTTGCAGTTTTTTTTTTGTTTGTTTTTTGCCTAATCCTGACCTAAGTGGACCAAACATGTAAGTGCAAGTCTGAACAGTTGTTTGCCTCTGTGTGTAGTTCTGTGAACACATAAAAGATATATTTTTGCCCTTACACAGTGACTGCTAGGATTGGATCAAGAATCCTCCCTCTAAAAACATAGGGGTTGAGCTCCATATGATGCCTTGTTCCAAAAGGACCAATAGTTTTAACCTTGGGTTGACAAAATCAAAGGGAAAATAGTCATAGAATGTTTAAGTTAAATTATCAACACACACGTCAACATTTTAAGTTTGAGGTTGAGCCTAAGGATCAGGTTGTAATCAGAGAATTGATGGTTTGAATCCCAGCCCTGGCAGTACTGTGATGTTGAGCAGGCACCAAAAACACTCAACCCAAGCCCACTGCTACAGTGTCCATTCTGAATCACGCTGGTGTTTTTATGGATCGTTATATGGAGAGAGTGATTTCTTCAGGGGATTAATAGAATACTGAAAAATGACTAAACACTTGAATTGTACTGGTGCATTAGGTAATGTTGTAGTGGTCTATGCAATTGATTATAAACGGTATGTAGACTGTGTCCAGTAGGGGTCAATGTTGCACTTCCATTTCCTATATTGAGGCCATGGTACATCAGTTTAACTTTAACTAATTTGTTTAGACAGTTTTATTACTGGATAAAGGGTATTTTGTCTTGTATCAACACATTAATTAAGACAGAAGTCAAGGTGAGAAAAATTATTTTGCTTTAATCTATTCAAAGATTAAACTCCACACAAGTTGTATATAAAAAACAAATGTACCAGTGATGACAGGGACTGCCTATATATTAGAAATTAAAACTTTGGGGGGGGATTATCTTAGTTTAGTTTAAATTCACTGGTCATGTACCTGTAAGCAAACAGAAAAGGACAAAGAAGAGGAATAATATTCCAAGCAAACTTTTCCTGTTCAACCTATAATAAGAGAGTGTCTTCTTCACAGCGATATTCAATAACGGCCTGGGGAAGAAATAAGAAACAAGTGAAAACATGGTCTAACGCAGTGCAGTGTGTTGAATCATAATCAGGTATATCAGTAATAATTTATAAGGAGGACTCACGGGGAGAATAGGATCGTGATCTGGACCGAGACCTGTACGCGCCTCTGTAGTAAGGTGATGGCGAACGTCTTCTGAAATTAGACACAATAAGTATTTTCCAGGAATATTTACAATGAATTACAAAATTAATTATTTTGTAAATTGCTACAGATAAACTCAAAATTACACAACAGTTGGTGGCAGTACACAGATAAACTCAAAATTACACAACAGTAGTACAAAAGACAGACATTATTATTATGTTTATGTTACAGACACAAATGAGTAGAACAAACCAAGACACAAAATAAAACCCAATTAGACTCAGGTGTAATTTCTCATCACAACCCTTCAACTCAAACTTCATATCCTCTGTTTGTTTTATTTTTAAACTCTGCATCAGTGGAAATGACTCCACATGTACAACAGCTGGTGTAAATTTTTAATCCCACTAATGTAAAAGCCCTATAGGCAAAATATTTTAGTTGTTTCAAATTTTGTCCACATGATGTCACTGTAAGCCTTTGGAGGTGCATGGGGCAGGATGTGGGAAACGCTGAACACCAGCCACCACAAAACATATTAAAGACCATTGAAAGTCTGTAAACATGCCATGGTGTAGCATTTTTGGGACAGAATTTGTGCTCCTCCAGAAAATGCCATTAAAATAAGAAACACAATAAGATCAAAAAACAAAACAAACCACAGGTTGACACGATTACCTGTAAGATCGGTAGTATTCTCTGTCGTCGTATCGGTCGTAGCCTCTGTCATATCCACGATCATATCCACGGTCATAGTCACGAGAATGTCGACCACTGGGGCCACCTCCACCACTACAGAGAACAAAAACGTTGTTATACTGCTTGCTACAAAGCAGGTGTTAATATTCTCACTTAACTGTCAAATAAAAGTTACATTTGTAAAGTCAGTAATGTATTTATTATTCAATGTCGTGCCTGAATGACTCTTTTATACGTCTTCACATAAACACAGGAAAAGACATTCATTTGGAAAAGTTTGGCAAAAGAGTAAACAATCAGGTCTATATTGAAAATCACCATATCTTACTATGTGGGGCGTCCCATGTAAATTCCAGGAGTAGGGGTGTGGGGTCTCTTTGTGATGGAGAAGTCTACTCTGATCCTGCGACCGTCCAGCTCCATGCCATTGGCCCTCTCTTTTGCCTGGAAGGGCATAGACAGAAATTAATAAAACTCAAGAAATAGGTTTGATTAAAATTAAAGTTTCACTATGTGCCTTACCTCTGCTGCATCATTTGTATTCTCAAAGTACACAAAGGCAAAGCCTCGGGAACGCCGTGACTGCTGATCATACACAATGCAAACATCTGCCAAGGGGCCATACTTCGAGAAAACCTCCCTCAGATCTCTCTCTGTTGTGTACAAGCTGAGACCAAAGACTCCCAGGCAACAGTTTGGGTCTGGATTTGTCTACAGTTTTAAAGCCAACATATATGTTTTTATTACATTAATTTTAACAATAAAATATTTAAAAAATATTTCTTCGCAACAGGACATAAATATACAACAGCAACACAATCAATGCTGATTCATTCTTAAACCCAATAAGATCAGAGCCAACTAATACTTACACGATTTCCAATATGCCTGCGGCGATTGGACATAGGGGAGTGGCTATGGCTCCTGCTGCGGTGATCTCCACTGTAGGACCTACTACTACGAGATCGTCGACGATGGGACCTAGAGCGCGAGCGAGATCGGCTGTAATGTCTGCGTGATCCACGATGGGAATGGGACCTCCAGGGATGAGGGAGGGAAGAACAAAAAAGAAATCCAATATTTTAGAGACAATAATCTAATTAGCAGAAAAATGTCTTGCTACAAAAATCCACACAGAATTTGCACCTTGATTTTGACCTGGATCTAGACCGAGTTTTGGAACGATGATGGCGGGAGCCTTCCTTAGAGTGAGCTGGTGAATGACCGGGTGAGCGGCTTGCAGACTTTCTTGAGGCAGGCGGACTCACACTCCTGGATGCGGAGCGAGACTCCTGAATGGACATCACACAAACCAACAGCCATGTTGAGAAATCTGCCACAGCATGTCTGTGTGGTCAAGAATGAAGAATATTCTGCTACAAAGGCAGAATAAAAACAACTTTAGTGTTAAATCAAACATTCAGTTACTGCTATTTTGTGAAGGTGTCATGACCAAAGAAAATGGCATTGATATCATTTATCATGTTGCAAATTTAAATGGTATGCAGAATGAAAAATGTTAATTCTACAATTTCAAAAACTGTAATGTAATAATAGAACATACACGTACTTGACAAGGCGAGCAAGATATTTAGCACTGTATTCTTAGGAAGATTTCTTTCTTCTTTAATTTCTGTTACTTCATTACTTGACACTTTTCTTCTTTCTTCAAATGTTACACTTCTTCTTACTTCCCCCTTGTCACACACTGCCAATAGTTCTTCCCGCCTCATCTTTTAGCATGCATTCAACAATTTTGCTTGACACATTTGAGCTTCATATTGAAAAATACTTGACACCAGTCTTCTGCTTTTTCTTCGTCCAATCTTAACCTTTGTAAAAAAAAAAAAAAAAAAGACAGGGATGAAGAATATAGAATGTCAATCAAAACTGGAGCCTCATTCAACTTCTCAAGTGCTGTAATGAATTGGTCATGCATGGGAATGTGTGGGCATTGATGCTAATGTTACATTCATTTCACATTTTTATGACTAACTTTCCAATCAATCGACACCACATTAGGGAGTATATCAGGAGTAATGGGGGCAAATAAAACATCAAAAACATACGTTTTACAAATCATAGACAGAGTACACAAGTTTTTCCCCAAATATTGTCTCAAAAACATTGAGACAAACTGTTTTATGCCACACTTGAATTATATAGAATCTGGGAATCAGAATACTAAATTATCTTTTAATACTTGAAACAAACACGTAAACCCAGTGCAGACAGCCTGCAGGTTAATGAGCTATCAGATTATCCTGGCAGTAATGAGAGGAAACCCAGGTCAGGTTTTTTTTCCCCAAACTTGAGCCATTGTACAGTAACAATTGGCTTGCTCACCTTTAGTGTGAACAAAATAAAATAAAAAATAAAAAATGTAATAACCAACTGTCTCACTTTCTCTTAAATTTAGCCATTTATAGCACAGTACAACACATTGTTTTGCCACTTCTGATATGTAAATATTCCTGAGTATTTGTGGTGAAACTAAAAACTAAGAATGCAACTGGGGATGAGATGAGGTGGAAAAGGTTGTGAAAGATAGCTGCCATTTATTTTATTGCAACAGCACTAACAGAGTTTTCTGTTGTATTGTGTAATATTTGGAGCTGTGCTTAGAAAACCTCAGAATATTCAGAGTGAGCATTTCTTGGAAATACATTTTTATAGGTGTCACTCTGGACATCGCAAGAAACAGCATAAACTAAGCAATAAATATGTATGAACTATCAGTTATCATTAAGTTTAAAATGTGTCTACTAGAGTTTATTTTAAGTATTTTCAGAAACTGAAGATTTGGGGCCTAAAGGGGCATTTCATTGCCAGTCCATGTTATATAACACATGTAATGACATTTTGAGTTTTTGAGAGGTTGAGTCTGAAACCTTGCACCATATGCTTTATTTCTTAACTGCTGTAATGTGTAAAAAAATACTTGACAACTTCAGATGTGTCCATCTACAAATATTTAATGTTATATACCAACCTCAATCCCTTTAATCTCATTCACAATTAAGGTCATATGCACTGTGACTGAGTAAAATTTTCTAGCATTTGCAATAGTAAAATGTAACAAGAATCTATTGGTATTGCTGGTGTTTTCGCGTGACATTGTACCTTGTACAACAAGTCTGGCTGCTTTATAACCTGAAGCCACACAGCTAAAATAACATTTCACATTCCCCCTAAATCAGGAAATATGCGAAATATATATCCAAAACTATGTACTTAGTTTGTACAGAACTGTATTTCTTTTATTCACTAATCGCTAGCTTGATAGCTGAATAGAGAATACCGTATATCTGAGCTTGTCTATTCACACTGAGCCGTCAAGTCAAGCTACCTTGCTAACAGCGGTCAGCTATCGCTAAAACGTTAAGAAAACGGCGAATAGCAGACGCTCAATTTTAATATTCACGGGCTCATAATTACAATAAATATAACCTCAATATTGCCAAATGCACATTATTAATATGCAATAAGCATATTTGTTACACCACACTGTCTTGGACTGACAAGTGTTTTTGGAGCTAACTTAATCGACTGACGTTAGCTAACGAACGTTAGCTGACACGCTGAACGTTGGAAAATCTCACCCTTCAGCTCTCTACAAAATGTGGCATTCAGACATAAATAATGCATACCCTTTCCTTTTCGTGGTCACTCATTTTCAGAGTCAGTTGATAAATTAAATTCTAGCCTACAGCCCGCAGTCCGTTTGCAGCGGTAACAGCTACTACCAAGAGTGGAAGCTCCTCCTTATGTAATCCTGGGTGAAACGAAGACAGGGCGAAGGGAAGACTGATTTTCAGACCCTTCAAGATTGACGGCACAAACCCTTTCCTCCTTCAACCGAACAAGCTATTTAATTCCTTTTAACTTATTTCTCGGTTGATTAACACTAAAGCCTTCAGTCTTCTGTAGGCTTTAGTGTTACTCATCATAATCAAGGCAGATTTGATGGACGTCTGTCACGAACGGTGGTTTCCCGCTGATAGTTGATTTTCCGTTAGATTGTATGCAGTGCAAATCAGTCAGTAAGTCCGTTTGGACACAAATACAATTGCACAACAAAAAGCATTAATTCTACGAATGTTTTCCCTTTGTTTTCCAATTTTTGTTCAAGACAAGGAGAAAGAAAGCAGATCAGAAGACATGGTGTGTGCTGTTTTTTTATTCAAATTTAGAAAGATAAAAACAAGACAGAAGCAGAGCAAAACTATTCCTTAAAAAATTCTGTAAAAACAAAAAATAAAACTTCACAACATTGAGCTGTCTTTTTTTAGCAATAATGTTGAAAATACCAAAAACTCTAAGTCTAGCAGCAGATTATGACTATTGTGACTAAATTTACAACCTGGATCCAGTCACTCATTGGCACCTAGAAACAAGACAAATACATTTTTTTTAGATATCTTTTTAAACACTTTTCCTAACAATTATAAACTCTTGTATTAGTCCACTTACCACAGTTATAAAGAACATTAATTTTATGAAGATCCAGGGCACTTGGTCCATCTCTCTGGCCTATTGGAATGTAAGGATCTGGTTTGGGAATAATTGTCGGACCTCCATCTTCGGAGAAGGCGTACCTGTATCAGCGATATGTGTAGGTAAGACCCAGAATCAGTGTGAAAAAACCTGTTATTGTGTTCCCTGGAGGTGCTGCCTACCTTCCATAATGCATGACAGAGTTGTAGTCATATGGGCTGTTGAGATTGTTTGTCTGCTGTTTCCTGAAGTTGTGAATGTAGGCTGATGAAACAGGCACATGATCATGTCAGACTTGTGATAAAAAAAAATAGCAAAGTCCTGCTTTGAATTAATAACATCCTGTCAGGAAGTGATTATCTTTCCTAACCTGGCATGATGTTATTCCATACAATTGTAACGTAGCCGTCTCTGTCTGAGCGAGACTGTTCATGGACAAAGCCCAGAGCATGCATGAACTCGTGGGTGGCCACTCCTGACCACATGCATCCAGGAGTCTGCAGTGACAAGACCTGGCTTCCTCCAGTCTGCCCTAGGAATGACCAGCAACTTGGGATACACAGAAAATAACAAAGAACAAAACAACAAAAATGTTGTTAAAGTTTATGTCTTTATTTATTATATCATTAAGCTGAATTAATTTAAATAAATAGCAAAGCTTAGTTTGGCTAGTTGACTACTTCTGAACGTCTTGTGCTAAAATCACCTGGAGTGTAAGAACCTACAGAACACGTTGTAATTAAATCCATAATCATTCTGAGAAAAAGTATTACACTTTAAATGGAATGAAATAAGCAAATTTGATATATTGAAACACATTAATGACTTGTGAAAAAACAACTTTCGAAGACACAAGTAATACTGACAGAACTTACCCATATCTAGGCTGAATATCAAGGAAATTAGCTTCATGGGTACGAGGAACAAATTTAATGCATGTTCCAGCACCGATGTCCTGCATCCCAGTTTCTACTGTGATTCTGTCCATGTCATCTAACGAAAAGAATAAAAATCAGCATCGAAAGAAAACAATTAAGATTTAAATTAAATGTATACATATCAGTTCTTTAATAGATCAGAATGGCTAGCAAACCAAAATTAAATTAGACAAAAAAAAAAGGGGTAAACATAAAAGGATGAGTGTAGTAAATGTATACACCCTCCCTGAAACGTTTGCAGTACTGTATATCCAGATACTTACCATACAGTGGAGAGATGATGTATGGAACGTAAACAAATCCATCAATGGACTTAGGCCACAGACAGGCGTTGCCAGGGCAGTTTATCGCACTTTGGGGGTACAAAGTGGCAATATCTCCTTCTCTGAATGTTAGCCCTCGAGGTGCTCGCAGTCCTTTACATAAAAAGTCAAGTCAAAACTCTTTTTTGTAGTTATAAAGCCCTAAGTCACTAGTCAACATTTAAAATCATTTCCCATACACATTCACAGTATTTGAGGCTAGGTCAAAATTTCTCCTTGACATGTTTTTGTGTTGAGACCCACTACTTGAGAACCACCTCTGTGACCGTGTTGTACTTACTGCTATTGACTATCAGGATTTGATCCATCACGTTCATTTCTTCAAATTCAAGAAATTCATCTGAATAAAATAAAGAAACAATCACAGAAAAGTGTTCGGTATTTTACATGACAAACAGTCAAATATCGTTGAAGGACCCTTATTTACCTGAGTGATGAAGACCAATTAGAGTCTTTTTTGCCAAGAGCCCACCTGTGTATTTCCTTTTTAACCTGACTTTTGCCTCATGTACTCCCGTAGAGTTCTGGAATACAAACGTGTTTTATAATACAGCAAAACCACAATGACAACAAGAGGGATTTGATTCAAAACATTCTGTCGTAGTACTGACCTGAACGGGTAGTGGTTGCACCTGTGCCAACAAGCCGATAAGGGCACTGAGGAGGATCGTGGTTGAATTCATGGTCATGTTCTAGGCTGTGGCACACCACAATCCTCCAGTGCCAAAGATCTTAGATGAGCTCCTCGCCTCAGCTGAATCTATATACCCTCCCCTCCTCCTTGACTCCGTACTGATTGGACACATGATCTGTGATGAAACAAGATTAAGACCCGCTCATCAAGCTGCCTGTGTAATTTACTCCAAGTCCACAGCTGAGCCGTAACAGGTGGTCCTGCTGCTGACCCTCCCTCACCTGGGCCCTGTACTTATGGAGTGTTCAGATTCAGCACTTTCAGGGATGAGACACTTGGTGGTGGTGTTTTGATGCTGGATGTGCCATAACTCAGCAGTGGCAATCATGAGAATAACGGTTCCCTCCATCTGACAGGCCAGCAATTAGTGCCTGACTGCTCCAGCAAACAGTGATTTAGTGATAAACTCGGCCGATAACTGTGTTGATGGCCATCATTGTGTCGCACGGCATAATCCTTCTACCAATCCTTTTTTTTTTTTCATTTTTACTGTAACATTTTTAGTGTGGAGCAGAAAGGTCTTCAACATTCTTCAGCTCAAGACAGATAAACTATACTGTATGTCTGTTATATAAAATTGTGTTTTATCTTTACCTGGGTTTGGTTCTCTGTAAAAAAAATAAATAAAAAATTGCTTCTTCATTTTATATACACATTGTGAATACGATACCATTTATGAAACACCCTAGTCAACTCATACATTTCAATAATAACATATTTAATTATTATAATTTATGAGGATAGTTTGTAAAAAAATATTTAAAAAGGTATCTTTAATATCTTTTTAAATATAATATATATTTTACGACGCCTTGACAGTACATTTCTTGACTCCTTATGAGTTGTACACTTCCTGTTAGTGATCTCAGCTGCATAATTTATTCATATGAAGTAGCAAATGGAAAAATCTTTAGCTCTTTATTGGTAATAACAGCCCTTACCTCTAGAAAATGCAGAATTAGAAATGAATGTTTACTCTGAAGTAGATATGATTCATTTAATGTAAAATAAGAAGTATAATTAATTGAAAGAAAAAACCCTAAATGTTATTGATAATGGGAAGAATTTATGGAAGATTTATTGAAATTCACCAGGTTACTGTTGGTGGTCAGACATAGGAAAATTTGTATTTAATTCACTCTTTTACATTTTAAATACTGGTTTTGTATAACTTCAGTTTTGTTCCTTTTAGATATTTCTTAGAACAAGAAACCAGATTTTAAAATGTTATTATTTTTCTGAACTTTCTTACTGAACTTTTAGTAGTTAAACTATTGACATTCTACATTCTGTGTAGGTTCTCTGTCATCCAGATCGTCTTATCCAAGACGTTTCACCTCCCATCCAACATAATGAAATGTTCACACAGCAGCACAGAGACACATGGAAAGACTCAGAAAGCTTGTTATGAAACTTTATTGCAATTATTTCCCAGTTATAGTCGACGTTCCCCAGATTATCTCTCAGTGCACTCCTGCCTTCTGTCCACACAGTTTCGTCAGTATAGATCCCTGTCACCTGTCATCAGAAAGACACAGACACAAAGCCGCCATTTGAGCGTTTGTACATCTGGAATCATCCCTGAGAGATGGTTCAAGTAGATTCAGTACCAACCGCATTTATAGAGGTTGTTTATTTTAAGCTTGTCAATGTGGCTCAGAGACGTAGCCTGGCCCAGCTTTATGTTTTTCTTGTTCTTAGGAACAATGGTTGGTTCTCCATCCTGAGAGTAGGCATACCTGCATGTAATACAAGGACATTATTGTTCTACATCACATGTAATGGGACATTAACAAGCAAGAAAATTAATATTGCACTGTTTTACATACATTCCAAAGTGCATGATGGAGCGATAGTCATATGGCAGGTCCAGAGTGTCGGTCCTGAATTTCTCAAAATTCCTTAAACGATCTAAGAGAAATTGAAATTTGTCAAGGATTTTGTGTGTGTGTTTTTTGTAATTAAAAAAATTGTATTTCTGTGTTGTGAAAAGAGAAAAAAAATTCAGACAACAGTTTTTCCCGCCCCTTTAAAGTTACCCCTCCAAATGTTTGGCCACATGATGGTGACATAGTTGTCCCGGTCCAAGCGAGACTGCTCGTGCACAAAGCCCAGAGCGTGCATGAACTCGTGGGAAATCACTCCAACCTGCAGGCAGTCAGGGCTCTGGAGGGAAACAGTCTGTCTCCCACCACGTGAACCAAGGTAAGACCAACACCTGGAGAAACACGGTGAAGGTTAAACAACTGGCTTTGAGAAATCTTCACAAAGGTTGAACTTTCAAAATCCAAACTAAACATGTTTCCAGTGTCTTACCCAGACTTTTGCTGGATGTCGATGTAGTCTCTCTGGTGCGTCCGGGGAACAAATCGAACACAGGTGTCTTTCTCTATGTTCTCCATCCCTTTCTTTATCAGATTTGTCTCTACTTCAGCTGTTCAGTGGTTAAGATGAGGTAAAAAAAAAAACACACACAAAAAAAAATACCAACTTGGAATGTATATAAATGATTATTTATGTATATATTTAAATTTAAGACTTGTAATGTGGATTGATTTAAATAAGTAGGTGAAAACATACAGTATTCAGGTGATAAGTTGTAGGCAATGTAGACATATCCATCCACTGACTTTGACCAGAGACAACTCCGTGCAAAGCAGACTTTGTTACGCCTTCCGGTGGAAACAGCAATGTCTCCCTCTCTCAGAATGTTAGAACCATCGTTGATGTGAGAAGCTGAGGGATACCATGGTACGTCAAATAAATCTGTCCACATTGGACAACGGCTGCACGTTTGTTACAATATGTGGAATTGTTAACTCACCATGAAACTCATTAACCTTAATGATTTCATCCATCGCTGCTCCAACATCGTTCTCTTCACGATCTAGAACAAAGAGTGTAGATTAAGTCAGTTTGCTGTTTTCCACTTCAAAGAATAACAACATCCACCTGCGCTGTACCTTTAAAACCAACAGGTCTCCATTTTGGGAAAACACAAAATTTCTGCAAAAAAAAAGAAAAAAAAAAGCAGAAGTAGATAATAATCAAAAGCACTGACAGAAACCCTTTCAGTTTCCTGTAGTTACCTGTGTGTGTGCAGCTGAGAGACAGGAGGAGAACAGACACAGGAGGATAAGCCACTCCATCTTCACTGGTCAGACTCAGAACGGCTTCAGTGTTGCCATTTTACCTGCAAACACACAGACTTTATAGGTGTTCCCAATCACTGTTCTGAGATAATGTCCATAATCATCTCAGCTAAATTACACACTCCCGTCAGTGTTATTTGTTTGTGAGTGCATTTAATCCCCAAATTAGTTGGACGCTTTCATAAACAACAACCCCGACAGTCGGATAATGTGAGGTCTCACTGTGAATAATAACAGCTCTGAATCAATGACTGGCCTTAAATGAAATGGTTTAATACGTGCCATACATCCCCAGCAATCAGAGGATTTGGTTGTATGATTCACATATCAGGAGTACTGTTATGTGTCTACTGAAGCTAAGCTTACCAACGCTTGACTTCAGTGTTCACTTAGTCAGATCAAATTATTTGTAATCATAGACCGTAAATGTTTACACTCACACAATAGGGCCGCAAATCTCACACAGGCCGAAGTACAGTACAGATATGTAACATGTTTTGGAAGCAAGTTTGCATTAAAAACGAGTATGGGAAATATTTTTTTGTATATGTATGTAAAACTTCAAACACAGATCACGTTATCTATCACTTTCAATGTTACGGGGCAAAGGAAAAAGAAAAACTAAAACAAAAAAAACTATCGCCCGAACAGGGACTTGAACCCTGGACCCTCAGATTAAAAGTCTGATGCTCTACCGACTGAGCTATCCGGGCTCTGAGCATTTTCACGTTCGCACAATTTATAAAAATGTGTTTCTGACGAGTTGGCTCGTGTGCTGTGTTATTTTAATACTTTTTTGTTACATTGCAAAAAGATAGAATATCATGGAAACAAGTTGGAAAGAAGAAAAGTTTTAAAAAAGGCAAAGGAATAGCAAATGTGCTGCTAATAGCTAAAAAAAAGCATGACGAAGCAGCTATGAAAAATATAATTTGACAGCAGTCATATTTAATACAATTTGAATAAATTACGAAATGTACAACAAATTATAAATACAAAGTCTCACACGTCTTGCCTTTTCAAGAATGAAAATAAAAATAAAAGAAGCAAAGGCACGTGATTTCAACGGCTACGTTATATTGTGTTTAAATGAACGCGATGAGGCTTCCGTAGTTTGACAGATTGGGAGGAGGAGCAGCGGTAGCAATGTTGCTAAAAGTATAGCAGACACATTTTTGTCTTAAGGAGTGTGTTATAATTCGTGTCAATCTTAGTCTTATTTCCTGCGTCCACCTCTGTGTACAATAATCTGGTTAGAAATCTTGTCTTTGATGTTTGGTGAAGTCAGCCGTGTTTGGATCTGTGGTCCAGCCGCACACTTCTCTGAATTTTGTCACACTCCTTTATATGGTAAGACTATTTTTTGTTTCGTGTTAGTTATGTTTTGTTTTTAATAAAACGATACTTTATTAAAGCACTGCTTAAAGTGAAGAGAAAACGAGGCGTGTTTGATACAGTCACCGCTTTTTTAAAGTACACGTGTCGCTCAAAGGATGAAGAGAAAACGAGGCGTGTTTGATACAAGGACTGATTTATGGACCAGTCACTTTACAATTAGCCACAGTTACCTCAGCTCTTAGCATTGTTGCTATAAATGTGTTTATTTTAATTATTAAAAAAAGGTATTAATATATGACCAGGCCACACATATGAAAATACTTACAGCAATACTTTGTGAGAAATACATTAAGAATGTTGGAATTCTAATATTACCAAATATATAAAGCAACAGTTTAAAACGAAAACGAAAAATAGAATGAGTGGAAACGAGTGTAAGAGAAGAAAAGCAGTATTTGAAACAAAATGTTGCGGTAATGAATAATGGAAATGTGCAAGTCCAGTGTTTAGAAACAAATTATGTACCTGAAGATGTCAGGAAATACTGCACATGTGATGTCTGGAATATTGAAATGTTGGACACGAGAATAATTGCAATATCCACAATAAATATCTCATTACTATATCGTCTTATGTGTAATCCATTCCAGCAGTTAAGGTCAAGGGCCTAGCAGACCCCGAACACAACATGAAAAGATCAAATAATAAAATATAACACACGAAATATTGAAATTATTGAACATTTCTTTTTTTAAATATAGAAGTTGAAATAATGAACACAAGAAAGTCGAAGTATTAATTGAAGGATGACATGGAGATGGTTGGTGTAGAATGAAAGAAATGATACAGAAACAGTAAACAGCAGACTATAGTAAAAACAAACTTTATGAAAGTGTCACAATTGCTTAGTAAATTCTGAACACAACTTTAACAGTAGATTTGTCTGTCTTCATGCTTCAAGTGTGGTGAAGAATCCTACAGTGATGTCAGCCCAGGTCAGTCATCGCTCCATCTTTGACTTCTGCCCCAACGATGAAGCTTTGCTCGAACTTAGAGAAGTCAAGTCTTTCCTCAAGCAGACTGAAAACGTCCAGCCTGCTGCCCCTGGTATGTACATGAACTGACCTCAGTACATTTGAGAGTGTAATCTTTAGTATTGGGACAAAACATACCGTTTCTTTAAATCCCAGCCCCCCTCATAGAGTTGAATGATAAACTCCCAGAGAAAGAAAGAGAGCGTGAGGGCAGCCTGACGAAGGAGGTGTCAGACAAGATGGTCTGCACAGCCTGCAAATGTTCCTTCACCGTCCGGGAGGAGCAGGTAAATCTTGCGGAACACTGTTCAAATTGAATAAACTACTCCGACAATAAAAAAAAAAAGAAAAAAAGGTTTTCATGTCAGTGGTTGATTGTTTCAGATGGAGCACTACAAACTCGACTGGCATCGCTTCAACTTGAGACAGAAGTTGGCAGGATTACTTCCTGTTACAGTGGAGGAGTTTGAGAGGAAAACTGGAGCTGGTGAGAAAACTCATCCTCACATGTCAAGAGTACTTTTAATAAAGACAGGAGGGAATGAATTACAGCCTCTTATGTCCCTGTTTTTCTAACAGGTGACATGTCCAGTATCTCAGGCTCGGAGTCTGACTCAGAGGATGAAAACTCAAACAGCGACAGTGCAGATACAGGCAGTAACATCCCAGGATCAAACACTGACAGCTCCGCTGAAAACAGCTCACTCCCTTGTCGCCTCTCGAGCAAAACAGTTTTCCAGAACTCTGCGGGACAGTATCTGTCTGTGCACCGCTGTATTCTGCAGGGGAAGGTGAGGATCAGCCGTACTGTCTGGGGCAGTGGTTCTCAAACTTTTTATACTCTGTACCACCTGAGAAAACATTAGGCTCTCTGAGTAGCACCATGATGACCAGCATTAGAATATAGCAGCATTAGCCTTCCCTGTTAGCTTCCACCACACAGGAGAGATGTTCATAAATGTTTATAAAGATGTTTATGTTTAAATGTTGTATTAATTGTGCATGCTATGTTTCAGATTTATTCAATTGAAAATGTAAATGTGAAAATATGAATTTTACCCGCGTACTACTAGAGAGCGCTCTAAGAACCACTGTCTGGTGTGTAATCTGTAATCTGATCTCTGACTTTTACTCCAACCTAAATGTGTGCCCATAACTTCAGTCAGAAGATGAGCAGGATGCAGGATCCTCTCTACTGTCCATCAGTAAGAAGACGGTGTGGGTCATTCTCATGACAGGTGGAGGTCACTTTGCTGGGGCTGTTTTTCGAGGGTAAGCATTTTTTAATTTTGTGGTCTGTGTTCGAGTCCTTTTCTCCACAGAAGTACTAATTTCCTTTTTTTTTTCCTCCCTCTCTTGTAGCAAAGAGGTCATTCAACACAAGACGTTTCACAGATACACGGTGCGAGCAAAGCGTGGCACAGCGCAAGGACTCAGAGACTCTCAGAACCGCAGCCACATGCCCAAGTCTGCGGGGGCAGCACTGAGGCGATACAATGAGGCTGCACTCGTTAAGGTTTTTTATTCTTCACACTTTATATATAATTTTTTGTGCATATATGTATATATCTGTTTAATTTCACTAATCATCACAATTTTTTTCGTAGTTGTGCCCTAGATATTTAACATGTATTAGTCTGATTGACACAATGGCTAAAATTCACAAAATTAAAACCAAATTTTAAAATGTTCCTAAGTTCCTTATATTTTACTTTTTAAACCGCACATTTACAATAGAACAAAACTCTGATTTTTTTTATTTTTTTTTATATTATAATAATTTTTGCAGGACATCCAAGATCTCCTGACATCCTGGGCTGAACACCTAGAGGAAGCTTCTGCCATATTTGTTCGAGCTCCCAGCTACAACAAGACCATCCTTTTTGGTGGCCGAGGAGCTGCTGTTGATAAAAAAGACCCCAGGATCCGCACACTTCCCTTCGCCACGCGCAGGGCAACGTTTCGGGAGTTGCAGCGAGTCCATGAGGTGCTTTCTACAGTTCATGTTTATGGTGAGGGGAATAACACACCTGAAGTAATGACATGTTTTTTGCTCACTGTTGTACAGCCAGGGTGTAATCAGAAATCTTCTTAATGCAGGGAGAGACACTGAGATGTCTGCTGTCCTCAGTCCATCAAAGAAGCTCTGGAAGAAAACAGTCAAACCAGCAGCAGCAAGAACGTCTGGTCAGGAGTCAGGTAAACGGAGGATTTGTGGATAAATACTCCTAATTTAGACACACTTTTTATGAATATCTGAAGAAAGAAATGTGTTCAACACTCTCCTCCATTGTTAGCATCTGCAGAAGAACGCCACGACAGCTCAGGTGAAGAGGACGGAGACATTCAGCTGCAGATGGAGACACTGACTTTATGTACTCTGGACCTCAGGGAAAGTGAAATTTATCCAGCAAAGCACAAGAGGAGGAGGAGGAGGAGAAAGGAGGGAGGAAAAATGCAAACAGAAGGTGAGTTCCATCTGTTGTGGCATCACATGGGTCGTATATATGGGTCAATTATATATATGTATATATATAATTGTTATTTCTGACAGAATTACCAAATGAAGAAGCAGGGGAACAAGGCGGAGACATACCAGCAGCAGAGGACACTTCTAGTGAGACGCAACTAAAAAACAAGAAAAAGAGGAAGCCCAAGAAAAAGACAAAAATGGAAGGCGAGTGAATCCTTGATCTACACTCCTACTCCTGACACTGCCTTGCTTTTTTCCCTCTATAAACCAATGATTCCTCTGTTTATATAGAATCTGTTGATGAATCCTGGGATTATGCTCTGAGGGACGCCCTCTTTACAGCCTGTAAAACAGGTGACGTTGACATGCTCAGTGGTCTTCTGGACCTACATGGAGACACAACAGAGAATCCAGGACGGTCGGAGAACGGTGCTACCGACGCTGTCCGTTTTGTGACACTCCTTAATAAAGCCATAGACTCATCGGGGTTCACTTTGCTACATGTTGCTTCAGCAGCCGCACAGATGGCGGCGGTCAGGCTGCTCCTCGACGCAGGAGCTGACCCAGCCTGCAAGTATGAAAACGACGAGGAGAAAATGTTTGATTAAAAAAAAAATAAAAAAAATTCAGTTAAATCAATATTTGTCTTTATATTACCGTAGGGATAACAAAGGGCAGACCCCGTACATTGTCTCTCCAGATAAAGACACAAGAAACGTCTTTCGTAAATACATGGGTGAACATCCTGACAGATACGACTACAGCAAGGCTCAGGTAAGAGCTTTCTAAAATCTAACTCACCGAATTCTGCTTTAATGTGCTTTAATCTCCAACGTCTACTGCCTCCTAAGGTCCCCGGGCCACTGACGACAGAGATCGAATTGAAGAAAATGGAGAAGAAACGGGCTCAGAAGGCTTTGAAAAAACAACGAGAGAAGGAGCAGAAGGAGGAGAAGAGGAAAGAAGAGCAGGAGGCGGAGGAAAAGAAGAGGTTTGCATCTCTGAGTGATCGTGAAAAGGTGAGGAAAAGGAAAAGACTATTATCGACTATATCGTCTCACTGTTAAACATAAAGGCAGGTGTTATGTACTGATGGTTCAGTCAAGGTTGCTGGTACAAAAATAATGCCTTAGATCAAAATCTGTAAATGGTCAGATTTTGTTCTGATACTAGGATTGAATCAAACAAAAGTTCAAGACCTTGTTGTGTCTCCCTAGACCGCCCCAAGGGTCTCGCACCCTATGTTGAAGACTAAGTTAATAAATAATTCATCCCTGTATGGACTGCTGGCTCTGGTCTAGAAATTGTTATTGTCACAATTTTTGGAGGTGTACAGTTCTTGATCTATGGGTTTCACAGGAGTCAACATCCTCAAATGTCTCATTACTGCCACCTTCTGGGTCTATTTTTATCTACATTCGTGCAGACAAACATGCTTGTGATTTTCAACATTTGCTCCTTTTTTTTTTTACCAGAGAATTCTGGTATCAAAGAGATCAATGGAGCAAGTATCTGCATCAGGAGGCAGCCTCTCTAATGTGCAGTAAGAAAAACACAAATGCTACTCTCTGTGATCCAATTGTTATTTACAAATTCAACTAAATCCTCTGTGGTTTGTCTTGGTTTCTCGTCACCAGGAGGTGCTGGTCGTGTGGAGAGTCTTTGCTCGGCAAGGTCCCATTTCATTACTCTGAGTTTTCTTTCTGCACCCC